TAAGGAGAGATATAGATATAAGTTTTTAGATCATTAAATAGCATCCCTAAGCTTGTACGGAGTTGTTTTATAGTATCTAATACCAACTTGTAGTGTTGATGAGAAGCATGAGAGAAAAGTATCACATCATCGACAAAAAGAAGTGAGATACTACTAAGCCACCATGCGAAACAAGGATTGTTTTCATATATTGCTAGCCACTTTGGTGTTCACAAATAATAAAAGCTTCTCCATACATAAAACAAACGAGATAAAGAGAGAGAGTGTCACCTTGGCAAAGCCCTTTCTTTGGATTAAATCTCAACATCTTTTACCATTTCATAGAGGGGACAAAAAGGAATTGGAAGTGCATGGCATAATGAGCTGAACATATTTAGATGAGAGGTCAAAATCAATCAAGGTTTGACATAGAAACTGCCAATCAACCTTGTCTTAAGCTTTAGCCGAGTCAATTTTAACTGCAAGGGAGTCCAATCTCTTATTTATTCTCTCGAATGGTGTGCATTAGCTCCTAGGCTAATAAAATAGTATATGTACTCGTATGACCCGAAATAAAAGCACTTTGTAGAGGGCTAATCAACTGGTCCATCATGGGTTTGATTACTTAAACTAATACCTTTGTAAGAATTTTATAACTCACATTACGGAGGCTTATAGGTCTAAACTGCTTCATACTCACTGGATGTTACTCTTTCGAGATCAAAACAATCGAGGTCTATAGTATTTGTGAGGAGCAAACACTAGAATTGAAGGCTTCCTAAACCATCCGAAAAGTAGAGTCTCCAATAATATACCAATACTTATGGTAGAACACATGTTGAAAACCATTTAGGCTAGGAGCTTGTAAGGTTTCATGGATTTAACAACGAGTGAGTACTTCAACTCTAGTAATAAATCGTAACAAGTCCTCTATCTAAAACTAGTCAAGTGTAAGGTTACCTATTAGAGGTGGGATAAAAGTAGAGATGTTATCTATAGTACAACATAAGTTTCGAAAGAAAGAAAGGACCTCCTTATGTATTACATTCGAATCCGATATCCAAATGACATTTTCCTAAGTGAAGCCTCTTAATTTTGTTTCATTTCATCCTATCAATGATTGTGGCATAGAAGAAATGAATACACCTATCTCCATGCTAAGTCCATTGGACCCTAGATTTTTGGAATCAAAACAACACTTCTTGGTCGAGAATTTCTAAGTATTCTTTCCGCAAGTCCACCCGAAGCTTAATAAAAAATTATGAAATTCGAGAGGACAAAGATCGCTAAATCCCATCAATTCCGCCAAGAGTTCTTTTTCTACAAAAGATATTACCAAAGGTGTGGTTATTGAAGTGAGTGGCAATAGCATCCATGTCATTTAAAACATCATGAAGAGAACTAAAAGCGATATTCTAAGTATCATTGACAAGTCGACTAAAGTCAAGGTATAAAGGCCGAGCATCTTAGAAATGGAAAGGCTTTAGGGAAAAGGGTGACATAAATCCATGAAGTTGTAGGGGGATTGGATTATAATTTGAAAACATTCTAAAGAGGTGATGGATAGAAATTTTTGGAAATAATAAGTGTCAATCACTCGTTGCGGACTATATGATCAAGTCTTGCCGGAGTTGAAATCGTTACGTGTTGTCTTTTACGGTAAGTGTATGGAGTGCCTTTGAAACCCAAATCAATTAGATCGTAAAGCCGCAAATTATCCCGAAATTTGTATACTCTAGCCAAGTAAAAACGACCCCCTCTCTTCTCTATGGTTGGCATAATTATTAAAGTCCCTAATGAGCATCCATGACACGAGTAACACTATCACAATAACTCTTCAAGTTTGCCTAGCTTCTCACCCAATGGCTTGAAGACAAGCATAAACTATAGTAAACATCTAGCATCCCATAACTTGGTTTGAAAATAAAAAATGAATATATTTTTTATGAACCCACACTATTTGGATTTGGACAAGCTGTACTATTCCGGGAATACCAAATACTTGAATTGATACTTTGCCTTTAGGTTTGACGAGTGTTGTAAAAGAACTTGTACTTGTAATATAGACTCATGCATCTTCTAACTCTTCACATTCTTTCACAAAATCTCTTCTAAAAACAATGAAAATGACAAATTAGAATATTGATTATGAAATGATCTCAAATGATACCATGAAGAAAAATAAAATGAAAAATTAATTAATTAATTGATGCGTGTACAAACATTCTCTTTTAAGGTTTCTATAAAAATACAATGAGGAAAATATGGAAACAATCCATATAATTAACAAGAAAATCAATAAATAATATTTGATTTTCTTCATTGATTTTTTTAATTATCTCATTTGATTATTGCATCTGATTCCTACATAATTTTCTCCTCAAAATATTTTCTAATGCAAAGTATCAATCCATCATGCTCACCTATACCGCGATGGCAGCACAAAAAAACCTAGCTCAACAGTCAACCGAAATTGGACATTATGCAACTAATTTTTAATGAATTAATACGTTGTTTCTTGATATCTTTCCAATGTAACCTTTTTGTTATGTTTTCTTTTAAGTGAACAAAATGTCTCTGATGCCTCCAGCGTACTTGCAGAAGAGGCTACACCAATACCTATCCAAGCTGTTTATAATGGACAAACATTTGCACCCGTAATCGATTTTTAGTGAAAATTGTAAATCCGTATAAGATATACTGTATTTACTGGTGAATGATATGATTGGTTTGGATCTTCAAGTCCACAGCCACACATTTTACTCGGCGAATAGCTATTTGCCTTAATGTTACGACATTTTTTGTCTCAAATCTTGAAAAATCTAACACCAAAATCCGACATTTATATTACCGCATCATATTATCCAGCTGGCATCCTCTCTCTCTCTCTCTATATAGTAACTTCTTTCTTTCTTTTTTTTTATTATATAAAAGATAGTAATTTCATTATTGATACAAATTAAATAAACACATTATTACTTTTGTAGCATAATTATATAAAACTGTTAGAAGAGAATTGCAACTTGTCACCTTAAAAAAAATTAGACAATTTTTATAATAATAATAATAAATAATGATATTCCAAGTAGTATATATTCTTTTTGCATGAACTTTAACAAAAATTTACTGAAATTTCTTGATGAGAATTGTCTAAGATGAAATTTTATCTTTATATCATATAAACTATTGATTTTAATGCCACTATAAATCAATACAGAACGGTTGGTACCATCAAGCTTTTTTGGTAGAAAATCTCATTCATCCAAAATTACAGAAAAAACATCAATTTTTTTCTATCAATTAAAAACACTTACCATAATCTAACAAAGGAATAATTCCAAAAATAAAACAGTCTAATGGAATATAAAATTTATGAACAAATCAAATTTAAGTTTAAAATATAAATCTAAATTGTTATCAGAGTTTTTAAAAAAAAAAAAATAGCACCGGGGATTTCAGTTAATCATAGGGCATCAAGGAAACAATCAACGTAAGGGCATTTATCAGCCAAAGAATACGTAGATCTTCTATTCGTAGCTAATTATCATAGATTAATCTTGGACCCTGAAATATATCTATGGATAGTTGGCAGAATTACATGACATACCATAGGACAATTAATTGGGCAGACCAAATTGAATTTTTTTTCTCTCAAATTTCAAAGAGGAGTTTTTTTTTTACTTCAAACAATGATAATTCGTTTTGATCATGCATATGCGTAAGTAATCATGTTTTAGTCCTGCAAAAGTATATAGATACGGCATTATTAGTTGCATGTTGTTCTTCTTCTATTGATGATATCATCTACCAAATTACATATATCAAGATGATTCACAGAAATGTTACTTCATGATCAGCGATCTTCTTCAACAACCAAAGAGGAAGCATATTTCTTAATTATTAAATCAACCCTTAGAAGACTAATCACAGGCTATTTTACTTTATGCATGACTTATCCCTAAGAAATGACGTTTTCTTTTGCTGTTTCTGGAACTGACATTTTGTAAATTGATTACACATTTAGGCAACTTTTTTCTTTTTCTTTTTCTAATTTTCTTGTTTTAATGAGCACAAGTTCCCAAAATTACCTGATTAGTTAATTATCTAATATTTATATCCATTCCATATTAAGAATTAAATAAAATATATAAAATTATTTTATTTTAATGTTCTGTATTATATTATACATTTATTAAAATATATCAAATTAAAAATAAATAAAATTTTATTTAATTTTATCATTTTGTAATCAAAATTTTATATTTGATTAATTATTTTTTATATTTTCATAAATTTTTTATTAAAAAAATTATTTATTTATCTCTATCCACATTTCTAGCTAAAAACTTATTTTGTAAATTATTTTTTTAAACATCTTTTTATCTTAACATTTTTAATTAAAAAATTAGAGAAACAAATAAGGATCAAAATGACTAAAATGAAATAAAAAAATCAAAATTAAATAAAAAATATTTATATATTAAAAAATAATATTTAAAAAAAATTAAAATTTAATGTCATAAAAATTTTCATAATAAATATTTTTAAAATATTTAAAAATTATAAAAATATTTTTATATAATAAAAAGAATAATATATTTGAGTCCAGGCGAATAATGTATATAAATATAGATAAATAGTATTCAGAATAATATACTGAATAGCATATTAATCTTTTAGTTTATTTTATATATATATATAACTACAAGACACACCGGCACGAAGGAGAGAAACTGTGGTGAACAACTTGAACCAACCAATTTCAAGGCAGAGTAAAGCTGGTGCTGCAAAGTGAAAAAACCTGGCAAAATAAATAGAAAGTCCACGGGGTTTATCCAAAACCCTGAAAAGATTCATTGGGCAATAAATTCACTTTTCCCTGTCATGCTAGCTAGCTAGCTAGCTAGCTATGGCTGTAAATTTAGCCCCATTATACCACTGACATTGATTTTGCTGGAGAGAGAGGCATCGATTGGTACGACAAACACTGTTTAAGCACTAACTCATTCAAAAAGGGTGATATGGAACTCTTGAGTCTCGACAAACTTGGCAAGTACCACCAAGGGAATAACAGATGGACAGCTTGATTAAAACAAAAAAAAAAAAAAAAAAAACCAAGGAAGAACAGAAAGCATGCCCTGATCCTGAACTCCATCAGGTACTTGAGGTACCTTTCTCTTTCTTGGAAGAGGGTATAATCAGTGATGTTATATCAAGAACAAAGATTTGGTCTATAAACAAAACATTGTATAAATCAGGGGTCATTGATTGCAGGAATCTATTTCCTCAGGGAATGCCAAGTTCTTGCGCAAGGAAAAGGAAGGTACTGACGAAGCAGGTGGAACACATTCTGAAAAGTTTGCCAAGAATAGTGAAGCCCCTTTTGTTTTCCGTGACAAGGCTAGCACTAATGTTTCAGAACAAGTTAAAAGGAAACTGAAGAAAATCTTTTGCAAGACATCATTGGTGTATCAGGAAATTAAGTTAGCAATTACTAAGAAGAAAAGGAAAGAGGAAATCTCTTGTGGTTAGAATTTTTGAAGTGCTGTCCAACCTTTTCTCAATTTTGAAAGAACTCATGAAATTAAGGTAACTATGCCTTTCATCTTGAATGCTTCTAAGGAGTTGACATGCATGAAATTTGAGCGTAATGTGAAAAACTCAAAATTCTCATTTTGTGAAAGATAGGATAATAAAATAATGCAAGATTTTTCTTATGATTGTTTACTGCAACCAGGAACTGTCCCCTGAACATTCAATAACAATCAACATGGCTCACTCTCACATGCAGTCAAAACCTTTTTTACCTGAGGCAATGCAGTGGCAACTTTGGGCACGGTACAGAAAACAGACCCTTCTTTCACCAAAGCCACACAAGACATTTCTATGGCAGATCAGATAATCAAACAGTTAAAACCACCTCTTTCACTGTCTTTATTGACCGGTGACACTTTGCATTAACTGGATCCAAAATTTATAGTGGCCGAATATGGCAAAACAGTCTGGACTCTGGATCATGCGGATTCAACGCTTGTTTGTCACATGTATTGCCCATACATGGACATTAAATTTCTTGCATAGTCTGTGGGACCTTATAAGTTCAAAATCATATATTTCTCCACCATCATCGATCTTCATACATCATACAGCTGTTAGTTATCTCGTGTTTCATTCACCTGCAACTACTCATGTGCAAACAATACTCATGTAGGTCTTAAAGGTTTCAATATTTATGCACAGACGCCAGAGAGAGGCCCTATACTGCTTGTATGCAGACAGATCTCACTGTTAAAAGTCCTGATATGAAGCATATGACTGCTCTGCTATGCGTGACAGTGTTGCATTCATAAATTCTGGTCCATAATACTTTTCACAATTGATTACAGGTTTCTTCTAGTCTTTCTATCAACTTGCCATTAAAGTCTGTATGAGCTAAAGGCACGAATCACACCATGTCGGATGCATTCAGGAGGCAACTCTTACTATCTCATCACAACTTATCCGTAGTCAGGAATTCATCTTAAGATATAAACATATTTAGTTGGAAAAAAAAAAAATCATCTGACTGACCAATTAATGCATACTCAGCAAGAAAAAAGTGTCTGGATGCTTTCTATTTAAGATTAAATTTGTTAGCAAAAATATGGGCAGAGATAGATAAGCTGAAGAATGAAATTTTTAGGACTACAATAAAGCCAGTTATATTTTAGTGCAGGGAGTACTAACTACTAAACATGAAGAAACAACACCTTGTTGCTTGATATTCGAAAGAGATGTATTCTTTCTTAGTCTTGAGCAAATCCAAGAGAAGTTCATGATTTATGGTTTGTCTTTCATTTCCTTTTTAATCTGTTCCAAAACGTGGATAACATATGCAAGTATCTTAGAAATAATTATGATGTGTGTGGAATAAGGAATAAATACATTTGACAGAAGGTGATGTTACACGTTCGAGGAAAAAGTGATGGCAGGCCATTAAAAATTCTTAGTCATATACTGAACCGTCAATAGAAAGGACATAGATTGAAGTAGCAAGGAAATATTTTATTTTTTACTTGTTAAGTCCGGTGGAGAATATCTACAGTTTTAAGCAAAGTGGAACGGATGGAGATTATTCATTTAACCTAGCCTCCAATACTTTGGAATCCCAGTTTAAACAATTAGCTACCATGCATGGTCTGTGGATAGATATTTGGGAGCTCAATCTGAAAGGAAAGAGCAGTGATGTAGAACTTTATGTCTACATATTACTCTCTTAATGTTAGATCAAGGACTAACTTCAAAGCCCAGCCTAAGGACAAGAAAGATCAGGTTATCGGCTATGACTAGGGAAAGCCCAGTAGGATTTGACTGTTAATCTATCTTTTGAAGTGATAATTCTTTCCCAGAAAATTAATTACCAAAATTAAAGCATAATTAAATGCTCCCTCTTCCAAATTCCTGAACATATATTGTCAAAAGCAGTTATTAGCATTGCCAAGTTAAAGCGGGTAATAAGGAATGCACAAGAATTGGGAAATTTATCTACACTTAGTTTCCAAAAGTTAGAAAATATAAAGAATGTCTCAATCTATCAGTTGTCAAGTTTTCTAGAACACTTGCCGTTTTGCAGTTCAATGCAAAGAAAATTAAATGAAATTGTTTCTGGAAACATGTTGTTACACATACCAATTGAACTTTTATTTCTTACCCTTTCCTTCTTTTGGGACTTAAAATAAAGTCGTCATCGTCACTGTCATTGCTGATTTTCCTCTTGGCTTTAAGGTCACCATTCTTTGATGCCTGTTGCTTCTTTTGATAACTCTCAGGTTTACTAGTGGATGGTTTGGTAGATTTAATGGGAGTTCCCAATCGTTGCATTTTTTGCTTTCTTTGTTTCTTCTCATATGCCTTTTTGGCTCTCTCTGGAGATAGTAAGCCATGTTCCATCATCCTGCAAATTGAATTTTGCCATTCCTCTCAAATGAATTACTGCTGAATTCCTTAATTGTTAGTGAAAATGGAAATGAATTTCACATGGTTGGCAGTGGATATCTAACACATGATATCCAGCCAAGGTGGAAAGAGGATTTTTTTTTTTAAGTTTAGTGTAATTGTATCCTTTGTATGTGTAAGACGCTTTGTTACCATGTAACATGTCCAGAATATCTTTAAAAGGCATTGAAATCTTTTCTTGATCTTATTTTTCCTCGAATGAATTAAGCCCAAGAATCCAGGAAAGTGAAAATACTCATTGAAGCAAGACAGGTCAAACGCTAAATAAGATAAGTTAACATTCGGTCATTGACCACAATTTGAGAAACAAATTATCCCTTTTATAGTAATTGAAAAGACATCCCCAGTGAAAAAATTTGAAGGGAGTTCAGTTACTAAGCTACTTTGTAGATTAAGAAAGAAAGCAGGTTCAAATATTTTACAGACCATGCACAGTAGTACAAGCAATGAAAGAAGCAGGCTTAGATAAGTCACTTTATACCATTCTGGTCATCCATTTTTTCCTACACTTTGCGGTTCATTTTTCAGTTGAAGTTGAGACTAACAAACTCATGGGTGCGAAACTTACACTAAGGCATTGCAATTCATTATAGCAATGGAGGCATCTAAGGCATCTAAACGCTCAATTGCACGTGCTCGAGATCACTGGTTTATCTAGTAGGTTACTAAGTTTATTAACTGTTGACGTAGAAATGCTTAGTTTGAAGAACATCACTAGCCTCTAATTTGCTGGGGTTCATGTTGGACATACGTACAATGACTAAGCATTATAGCACAAGTGTGCACTGAAGAACCAGGCTCCATTGCAATCAAGTTTGCTAAAGGATTCAAAGTCTGCTGAGAAAATGACAGATATGGATATAACATCTAGCTCTAACTCTAAGCTTAAAATGTTCCAAGTCTTCTGACGTGCATGGCTATGGATAGCTAACGTTCAGAGCATCTAAAATGTACCATGGCAACAGGAAATGGACACAAAGCAGCATCTAATTCCCTACAATCAAACATGAAAATTATACTCATCCGAAAGTTTTAGCATTCAGAAAAACATGTGTTGTGTACAAAGAAATACTATAAAATTAAGAAATCTATCATTTCAAAGCAGTTAATCTTCTCATCACAAATTCCTAGAGCGGTAATGTGCTAGTCAAATAAATGTTGCATAATCCCAACAAAGGCTAAAAGCAAAGAAGTGAACCAAACCAAGTCCTTTGAGCACCTTATCTAGACAAACAGAAAAATTAGAACAGCTAATAGGATGGTTAAACATGGCAATGATGCAGAGTAAGCAATGCAACAACAAATCGCAATGAGCACCAGGCCTCACTCCCATTACAGGAAAGCACAACATTAAAGGGTGCAACACCTTTACCAGAAAACATATAAGATCAAGCAGTCAATGAGGGAAAACTCACCAAAATTCTGCCATTTCACTAGTTGGAATCTGTTTAGACAGCGACTCGTAGAATATCCTAAGTGGTTCTCTCTGTCAAAACAAAAGAGCAGTAAACATAAGAATGAATGGCACTTTCAACGCGCAAAACTCATTATCCAAAACAACACAAGAAAATTAAAATTTCAAAGCCAAACCCCTTCAGGAGGATCATATCTCTGACCAGGCAAGGAGAATACTTTCTTCTGTCTTACTCTGGTAGTTGTGGTCGTCGTCGTGGTTTTTGACGACCTCGGTGCTGATTTTGATGAACTCGGTGCTGATTTTGATTTTACCTTCAGATGCAAACAAAACATACGCAAACCTCATGAAACCCAAAAATGAGATACCTGAACCAAACCTATCAAGAACCCAGATAAAAGTAACATCCCAAAATCAACCAATTCACTACAGATTAGTAATATTAACACAGAAAACACCACATCCACATCAACCAATTCATTCCAGATTATACATATTCAACTATCCAAATCAAGCAATAAATCCATATCATTCAATTGACTGAAAAAAACCTTAAGAACCTGGCAACAACCAAATCTCCTATTCCACTATATAAAAAAAATCAAAACCCTGATGCAAAAGACTAAATTGACAAATCAATAACAAAAATTGCCAATTTAGGATCAAAATACAGAGAAAAAAATGAAAAATATAAGAAAATTTGAGAGATGGGATACCTTACCTCAGTTTTAGTTACAGCTGAGACAGATTTACGCTTTGTATCAACAGCAGGTTGTTTTTGTTTGTTTGAGCTCTCAATTTTCTTAGCTTTCATTGAAGATTCAATCTTTCCCTTGGAACCATCAAAAATACTACTGCTTGCCTTCACTTTCACCACACTTTGCTTGCCTTCTGTAGCCATATCTATCAATCATTCACGAATTCTTCTTTTTCTTTATCGTTTTATTGTCTTTGATTTTGATCTTAAAATCTAACAACTTTTGAAACCAAGAATTACAAGGAAAAAAAAATGATGAATTCAGTAAAATTAGGTAAATAAAGAAGAAAATGTGAAGTTTGCCGTTTATTGCCGTTTCATGGAACTGTTTTTTTTGTTTTTTAAGGTTGTCCTGTGGATAAAGTACCGCGAATTTATGCATTTGCCCCTGTTAATCTAATATTAAGTTATATTATGAAGGTTAAAATGGTCGTTTAGAATACCCACGGTTTATTAGTAAAGTTAAGGTACGGGGGATGTCACTGTAAAAGGGAACGATGCTTCGGATTTTCTAAAAACGGTGTTACAAGTGTAAGGGAAAATGTGATCGGACGGTTATTGGATGAAGAGCTCACGGATTTCTTGTGAGAGTGTTTGCTTTACATTTGTTTTTTGATTGATTTTATGGTAAGAATCTTGCTTTCACTGATTTTCACGCCAGTTAAGTTTGAACACGTGCTTCGTTGACTTTTTTAACTGATGATCCGTTGTAAAAAACGGAATTACATATTCTAGGAGTAAATTATAGATTAGTCCCTCTATTTCTAAGAAATAAATTAATTAGTCTCATTTGTTTTAAAAATTAATTTTTTAATTCCATAACTAGTGTTTACTAATTTTAATTTAATATTATTTTATTTCATAAAATGTTATTTTTTCTTATCAATTTTTTTATTTGTTTCTGTTTTCTATTTTATTGAAAATGAGTGTAAATGATTACGTTACAAAATATATATATAAACAATTAAATAATTAGTTTTTGTAATAATAAGAATTAATTAATGTATTTTTAAAAAATACAGAGATTAATTTATAATTTACTTCAAATTCTAGCTATTTTCTTTTATTATTTTTTTTTTCAATGATAAAAATATCTTCAAATTAGTTTATGTATTACATATAAGATTTAATCTCTACCAAACCACATGAAATTCTTACTTCTTTCAAATTTAAACTCTCAATGATAACAAAGGAAAAAAAATTCACTAGCTTTATGAACGGAGCCCCCAACACAATGTTAATTAATAAATAATACTTAAAAAATATAATTACTTTTTTTTTATGATTAAAATTTAAAAATCACCTTTGTTGAATATATATTAAATTAATTTAATGTTATATCTAAAACCTACATGCATATATTCATGCAGATACTAGACAAATTTTCAATAACCATGACCATTCTCGAGATATCAAAACTGCTTGTAGGCATGATAGGTGAGGTTTTTATATTTTCCCATCCTACCATTCATGTAGTACTATTGAATATGAGTTAGGTTTACTTGTCTCCCTCTCTCTCATGGGTAAGGCTGATTTGTTTCTTTCTTGTGAATATATATATATATATATTTAATAAAAACTAGTCAGGATCCAATATATCTAAGGCCTAAGAGAAAACACAATTTAATATGTGAAATCTGATCGGATTTGAAAATATTCGATGTGCGATACCAGTTTGAAAAAAAAAAAAAAAAATTGGTTGCGTACTGAAGTTGATAAAAGAGAGAGAGAGAGAGAGAACACGTTTTGCTCTCAACTAGACAGCTAGGATACAAAAATTCTGAGTGGCGTCCAGATTGCAAGAAAAGAGAAGGTCCAATTTGGGTTAGCTGATGATCTCATTTAGGGTTGCTATTAAATAATTGAGATCTCTGTCAGCTTTGGAATCAATGAGAGAGAAGGGTTTTTGAAGCTTATATTGCAATAATGTCAAGATTTTCACTAATTGCATAATAAGTTGTATTGGATGATTTTGGCCAATATATAAAAACTACATTAACTTTCTTTTTCTTTTTTTTTTCTTTCTAATTTCTACATTCAGCAAATCTCTCAAATTTATTTCATTTATTTTATTATTTATTATTTATCAAGGTTTACCTGCAGGCATGCATTGTTTTTCTTGAGACCTGTCAAACATGCTGGAGAGATGCATGCATTTTATTTTATTTCGTTTATTATTGTAGATATGAAGATTCTCATCATATAAATGCTTTCTTTGCCATTACTAGCAGCATTCAACCATGCTCATGCAGAGATGCCGTAAGAGCTGTCAAGGAACACATGCAAACAAGCATCAGTATTAGTTGGGGAGCAACAGGTCTCATCTTTGCCATTTAGCTAAATTCAGCGTTCCATCATTCGTAAGATAACTGTAATATAACATAACATAACTGTAATATAACGTAACGATTGTTATATAACAGTTTTGAGACACCTTATACCATTAATTGACACTATATAACAACTGTTATTTACGAACATGATTGTTATTTTACTACTGTAATAAACTGCAATTTTAAATCTCAACCATGACCGTTTTCTCAACCATGTCTACAATTTAAAACTATGATACAGTACTTTGTAGTTCTCCAAGCTAAAATTCTAATATGAGTGAAAACTGTCTGTTATTGTCCTTGTTGATGCTGCTAGGACTACAAATTTGTGGATATGGATAGAGATAACAACACAGTTCCAGTCAGAGGAGGCGTAAAGCATGCAAGCAGCAGGGTCCGTAAACAGAAGGCCACAGATTTTAGGCTCCGACAACCAGATGCTTGAATCACCTCATGCCTAGACTAAAAAGAGAACCAATTCCAGGTAATTTAATTACCAATCAGCAAGTCTTAAGCAGGTCTTATTCGAAAAATTCTGTTGTACCAAACTGAGTGAAGAATCATATGAAATAAATCATACTTCTCAGGCTTAGTATGCCAAAGAAAATGCTGCTGTACCTTCTTCACTCTCATATGCATTTCTATGTACTTCTCTTCTGATATTGAAAGGAGTGTATTCTTCAAATTTGGGATATCTTTCTCCAAGATAATAACAGCAAAGGATTCCCAATCTAAAACCTCAAAAAATGGAGGCACAAAGTTGTCAGATATTATAACTGGAACACACTCATGGAATATAGCCTCCACAATTCGTGGGCTGTTCACTTCATGACCTCTTGGACATATGCAGAACTTGCTGCTCTTCATGTGTTGAATGTAGTTTGTATTACCCTTGACATGAGGCATTGGACCAAATATTTTCATGTCAGGATCTTTCCCCCAGTGCTCCAGCAGGATTGGCCTGACATAGCCATGCATGTTGCCTGCAAAGAAAGCAAGGACAGGTCTTTGGTAGGGAGGGTTGCCTTCCAAATTTTTTAGAGGATTCTGAGCTGAGCGTACATATGTTTCTGGAAGAGACACATCTTTCCCTATCCTGAAGCCTACTTCAATATCAGCATTACAGAGGGCTCTGATGCTATTGAGCAGAGGTCCCCTAGTTTCAGCAGGTGCCTAATAAAACGACATTTTATTAGATACTTTCTACTTTAAATAACGGAGGCAGAGTGCTAGAAAAGATATATTGGGTGTTTCTTGCACCATACATCATGGGTTCTTGGTATCGTCACTTTAGGTACTGTTAATGTTTCTCAATAGAAAAGAGTTGGTTTGCCAAAATAAGCCATAAACTCAAGGATGCAGACAATTCTCTTTGGAACGAGGAAAAATTACCAAGAAATTAAACGAACTAACATATAGAACTTAGGGTAAACCCCAAAAAGAAGATGACATAAAATAAGGCAGAAATGTGTACCCAGTCATGGCATGCAGCAACAAAATGATCTGCTCCACCAGTTCTGTTCCAGAAAGAATATTTTGCAGCTATCATGTCTGCATAATTTCTCATGTATTCGATAAGATTCGTACGACTGTGTGAGTGACGTACATAAAGTGTCAACTCAAGAAGTCGCGAGCTGAAAGGAAGGTAAAATAAGTGAGCTTTTCCAGGGTCTTTACTAACAAAATTTTTATTAGCTTCCATATGCATCATGAACCATCCTTCTGATGCATATATTCCATCCAGTATTGGCTGATGGAAGATGGGTTTTTCACCATCCTGGTAGACATAAACTTTGAGCATCTTCTCCATTAGTTCATAACTCCTGCCAGTGCAACCTGATTCAGAACTCCTCAAATACCATGAGAAACACTAACTAATGTGGTTTCAACATAATATCATTGCTGCAAAAATGTAGTCCCAGAAATTAGTTGAAAGATTTTCTTCACACAAGCAAAACACTCTAATGAAGAAACACATTTCTAGACGATGCTGAATGATTTCCATGGGATTACAAGGACATAACAGCTTTCTACCATCTATTTGTAATGATGCCACTATATCTCAAGTCATAAAACTGCCACTACCTGAAGAGGTTCTCCTAATCCTGATATACCATGTTCATGGTAATCCATCTCCCCGGTGTCCCAGATTATGGTTTTCTACACTACCATGGCATGGATTTGAAAGTGTCAGGTAAAAAGAGTCTTAGAAATGGAGGGATGAAACTTCTGTCAACATGTGTACGGAACCCCAATTCTGTATAAATTGCATGTAGTTATCAAACCATCCTTTCCAACCAAAAGGAGCCATCTATCCAGACTTGATGTCTAGGGACTCAGAAGTCAGCATTACCATGTTCAATAACAGTTCTTTCCATGGGCCAATTCCGAACATAAATAGGTTACTTAATAAAATCTACTCACTGAATATATTATATGTATGAAAGTGTACCTTCTAAATATGGAAACATTGCGATATATAGGTCCATAAAGTCTAGGTTCATTCTTTATTATGGGTGCATTCTCAATCTGTGATTTTGCAAATAGCATTTCCTGGTCAACTCCTGAAGGCCATAGTGGTTTCTGAAAACAAAAGGGTGAAGGGGCGTTAATAAAAAATTTGGCATAGAGCTTGGTCTCTTTATCCAAATTTGGATTGGATATTATTACATACCACTGAAGAGGATGAAGCATGACTCTGTCGCAGCAATTCATTCATCTGAGGTATTGAGATCACTCTGGATGGTGGTTTCTTGGACTTTTTCCTCTTTGCTGCAATAACTTTCGATGAGAAAGAACCACTTCTGGATAGGGAATAATTACCTGGCAATAATCCAGAATTCTCATCTCCGTTAAGTGTTCCTGCTGCATCTTTTCTCACTGAAGAGGTATTTGAGCTCACAAAACTCATCGGATTTGAATTTTCATCAGCTGAAAATGTTTTATCAGAGAATGTATTCATCATTGGTGGTGCAGATGAAGGGTATCCAAGGTCAGCATCTGAGCTTCTGTTTCTTCTTGATATTAGGGCAATGTCTTTATCAACATTTATATAGGAAATATCAGGTGCCATAGCCTTCTCTTCTTCAGAGGCATTAATTGCCTTTAAGCCATTCTCCAATGTGGAAATTTTGTCCTGGTTTGCAAGATCATCTGATGTAGTTTCTTTTGAAACTAAGCTAAAACTGTAACTTGAGCCTCTTTTCCTTTCCGATTCATTGTTATTGTTTGGACTTCGTTCCTTTTCTTTCGATTTGCCAACTTCGGCTGTTTCTTGCTTGTTATCTGAGGCTTCACCTCTATTTGTTGTCTCATGAAGTATACCTGCGTTAGTTGTGTTTAAACCATTTGAAAGTGTCATGTTACTTAGCGCTTCTGGATCTGTCAATGAATTTCTGGACAGGAAGTTTCTATTATTGACAGCAGAGAAAAGAGAGACCAATACTCTACTAGATGGAAATTCGAAATATTGAACCACTATAACTATAGCAGCTGTTGCTCCCATTAGAAAAAGCAATTTCCTTGCTTTCCCATGGCACAAAAGTTGAAATCCTTGATCCATGAACATTAAATGACGTCTGATCCAAATGAAAGAGTCGCCAAAATCAGTTCTGTCAGCACTGCAGAAATTCCAAAAATCTAGCTATAGTAAGAAAATTGTTAGCATTATATCAAATGTCAATTCAACCAGAAAACAAATGACAATCTCAGAGCCAAAGCAAAAATGTCTTGGCATTGATATTGAAAAATAAGATGAACTAGAACCTAAATTTCGAAATTTATCTATAGCTAAACGTCTTTACATGGATAAGACCAAAAGTTCTCTTATATGCATATGATCACAGAATCCCCATTCATCCATAAGCACTTCTTATTTTTTAGTTTTCTTTCTGCTACTCCATTTTTTCGAATTCAATATTCAAACAACAACGGTCATAGCCTCCCAGAAACCCGAGCATGCCAAATTTGAATACATTCTTCTAATAAGATGCAAATTACCTTACCCCTAGAAATGTTCCCCTTTCGAAAGCTGAAAATGAAATGATTAAAAAAAAAAAGGTTAGATCTTCGTCTTCAGCAACATATGCATTATTCTCAGAGCCATAGTATATCTGCTGGGATCATGCCATCAGTCATCACCAAGAAATTGCAAGCTAAATCTAGCATTGCACTTGAGATAAAACTACTTACATATCTTCCATCAATATTGTCAACTACATGCAGTTTACAGGGAAACAAACAACAGTAAATGAGAAACAAAAATCTAAATCATGTGATTAGGTACCAAACCAAAACAGGAATTAAAAGATAAATAAATCAGAAGAAGAACAAAAATGAGGTGCCACCGACAACATCCAAAAGGGGAAATGAAAGGCATATATTGTCCAATTCCGGCAGGCGATGTTAATTAAGAGGATCATTATGAAGAAATTAGACAACATAGTAAATCTTAAACACAAAAGGGAATGCGCAGATTTAAAGATATCAGACGTACATGAAGATAAACACCGAAAGCTGATTCAGTTAGTCACTGGTGATGGTCATCGTGAGACTTTTAAGGCAGAAACTGTGGCTTTCGAGTTAGTGGGAAAGAATGCAGCTTTACTTTGATAGGTGTAGGTGGGACCGGGGGAGGGGGCTTCAACGGGCCCATCACCTTTTTCTCTAAGCTTTTGTTTTTCAAGAAAAGGCAAGGGAAAAATCAAGCTAAATATCTTAACAGAAGAAGAATGAAGTTTCTTTTAAAGGATTTATCTTTATGAGGTAAGAATTAAGATTACAACGTGATGGAGGAAATTATAAATTAGTCCTTTTAGTTTTTTAAAACAAATAAATTAATTCTCTTAGTTTAAAAAAAATTATTTAATTTATTAACCAAATATTGATCATGTTTAATTTAATAATTCTTTATTTAAAAAAACTCATATTCTTTCTATCAATCCTTGTGTATTTTAATTTTTTTTATTTTTTAAAATAAAAAATAAAATATTAAAAAATATTAATATTAATTTATTAATTAATTTTTTTAAATAAAATAGACTAATTAATTTATTTTTCGAAATTAAAAAAAAAACTAATTTATAATTTAGGCTGTGTTTGTTTGGAGAAAAGCAAGTTCCATAGAAAATCAATTTCTGAAAAAACTATTTTTCAAAAAATTGTTTTCCAAAAACATACTTTCTGTCGTTTGGCAATTACATGAAAAAACTATTAGAAAACATATTCTAACGTTTGTTTGATATAAAAAATTAAAATAAAAAAACATGTGTGATTTTTATATCAATAAATTTTGAGAAAACTTAAAAAAGACATATTCATGGTTTTACAATATAAGGTACATTTAGAAAAATTTAATAAATTTTCATAAATACTAACTCTAAAATTTTAAATAATTAAATAATTAATAAAGAATAATTAAAAATTAATCTGATATATTTTAAATAAAAAGAAGATAGAGAAAAAAATTGTTAAAATATATCGAGAGAGAGGTAAATAACGAGAGAACAAGACAACTTATGAGAAGGAAAATGTTTTCCTCCTTTGAAATTAGAAAAACATTTTTCAAAAAATATTCTTTCATTTTTCGTTGACTAAAAATTATTTTTCGTTGATTTTTTTCCTAAATGTAAAATAAACACTAAGGAAAAAAAAAAAAAAAGAGAGAAACTTATTTTCTCTCAGACAAACACTGCTGTACTTCAACTTGACAAGGTTAAAGGAAAGGCTATTGTTGGTTTGTTGAAATTCCGGTAGGTATCAATTGCATATTTAATCCCTGTACTATTATTATTTAACGGATGTGACTCTTTTTTAATTTGGTTTGTCCCTTTATTCTAAAATATTTCTTCATACAGTCCCTTGTTCAGCTACGTTTCAAGTACCGTGAGTTCTTGACAGGTAGAATAAGTGTACACGTGTCCAACAATGTCAGTCAACTTTCCAAAATTAACAGTAAATTAAATGGAGAGAGCAAATTTAAATATTGTCTTAAGTAAAGAACCAACTAAGTAAAACAAGTAGAGGGATCATATTAACAAAATTTCAAGACAGTCCAAAAACCTCTCTGCTTTTTTTTTATTTTTTCAAGTCCCTTTTTGTAAGGGTTTCAATCCAAAATTTCAAGTAAAAATCTGGTAATAATATTTCCATGTCCTAGCCATCTCTCTCCTTTTCCTTTTCCTTTTTTCTTTTTTTTTTCTCTTTGTTTTTTTTTTTTTAATGTGTTAACAATTTAGATTTAGATTTGATTTGTGCACAAAATTTTTGTTTTACTAGGATGTTTTTTTTTTTTTAAATAAAGTTTTGATGTTTTTTTACTATGTTGTGGTTTGTGTTCCTTATTTGTTTAAAATTTTTCATCAATGAGTTCTGATAATGCGGCTCATTCTCTGTTGATTTATGATAGTGCTAAGCTCAATTATGTATGCAAAAAAAAAAAAAAAAAAAAACCCTCATCTTGGACCATTCCCATTAAAAGATTATTATTCATCATTATTGCAAATGGATTTTGTCTATTTTTTCGAAAGTTGCAATTCTCTTCTTAATTTTTGGTATCATTAGACTATGATGTATATGTTTGATTCATATCATCAATAAAATTATTATCTTTTATTAAAAAATAGAATAAAAATTCAAAATTCAACACTGCAAAAACCAACTATATGATACTATATAGAACATGCATGTAAAATTTCATATTGATTAATTAAATACCAAACATTTTAAAACTCAAGTTTTTCTCTATATTTTATGGATGGTAGTTTAAACAAATTATTTTTGAGAAGGAATTAAGTTGAAAGTTATCAAAGATGACTGGTGTGATCAAGAGATTCAATCCAACAACTGGGTTGACAAAATTCAAAACATCAAAAACTATGGAGATACGTAGAAGTTATCATATACATGTGATCCCACGTTACTATTTTACTACTTAATTAACAATTAAAATATTTTTAGTGCAAATTATGCATCAATTGGAAAAATTATATAATTCGTTCCAGTCATTATATAATTCTCTACGTCTCCTAGCCATCACGATCTTTGCATTGCAAATCAATAAGATTTTTCTCTGCTTGCATACTCCTCCTACTTGTTTTTCATGTTTGTTCCCTTCTGATTGAAATTTCATATTTTATACATGCTCCTATAACTATAAGTTGTATGTATTAATCTCTTTTTAGAGGACATTTACAGAATAGTCTCTTTCAGAATCGTATTTTGTATGTTCCTATAGGGTGTATTAGTCTTTTGCAAGAGACTATATTGCTTAAAGCTTGCCTCTCCCCCATATATATATATATATATAATAACACTTTCAAAAGCTAAGTGGTTTGCTAAGTAATTTATTTAATTTCAAAAGTAGAACTCAGTAGTTTGTGACCTAGACTCAGATTGTGTAATCAGGTGCAAATACCATTATTTCAGTGAAAGATCAGATACATCTTCAAGAGAGTGAATACGAAGAACCCTTTACAACAGAGAAAAGGAGAGGTATGTACAGCAAACCAGCTTTATTTTGCTAAAATCTATCCACAGAAAAAACAAATGTAATAACTATGGAGGATCAAAATTCCTCTATTTCCACCTGTCCAAGTAACCTGTTTTGCTTTCCCCGCAGGCCACAACGGGATTCTTTCAAACTACCTCCAATGAAAAGAAAGATCTATATCTGCTGTTTTTTTTTTTTTTTTTAATCATCTGTTATCTTGGCTGCATTTGGAAAACTCTATTGTACCAGACCGAGTGCAGTATCATATGAAACATATCATACTTCACAGGTCTAGGATGCCAAAGAAAATGCTGTTGTACCTTTTTTACCCTCATCTGCATCTGGCGATACCTCTTCTGAGGGATTGAAAGGAGTATGTTCTTCAAGTTTGGAATGTCCTTCTCCAAGACAAAAAGAGCAAAGGATTCCCAATTCAAAACCTCCAAAAATGGAGGGACAAAATTGTCAGATATAATCACTGGAACACACTCATAGAAAATGGCCTCTACGACTCGTGGACTATTGACTTCGTAACCTTTTGCGCAGATACAGTACTTGCTGCTTTTCATGTACTGAATGTAGTTCATTTTGCCTCTGCTCTTGACCTTAGGCAGTTTACCAAATATTTTCATGTCAGGATCTTTGTTTTCCCAGTGCTGTAACAGAATTGGCCGTAGATAGCCATGCATGCTACCTGCAAAGAAAGCCAAGATTGATCTCTTGGAAGCAGGTTTGCCTCCAAGATCTCTAAGAGGGTTTTGAGGTGTTCGCACATATGTCTCAGGAAGAGATGCATCTTTGCCAAACACGAAATCTTGTTTAGCATCAGCATTGCAAAGGGCTCTGATGCAATTGGCCATATACTGTCTTGTTTCAGATGGCGCCTGAGAAAAACAGACAACAAATTGATGTAATTAGCGTGTACTAAAACTTAAAAATCATTTCAGTTTGCTATACTCAGATTTTCAACTAACATATCCGGTCTTTAGGATAGAAATACACTATAGCATCATAAACACCAGAATTAGTGAGAAAAAAATATCTAATAAAGACAATAGTACTGGTCATTACTCAATAATGTGGAAGTGAACCATGCCAAGCAACAAGTAGACTTTCACATAAGAAATACTATAATAAACAAAACAAATTATTAGAAATTACACAAAAGGAGATGAATCACTCGAAATGCTGGAAGACTCCAAAAGTCCCAAATTTGATTCAAATGGAAGATTGTAAATCTAAAGGAAGCAAGAAGACCATACCCAGTCATGACAAGCAACAAGAAAATGATCTGCACCTCGAGTTCTGTTCCAAAAAGGATATTTCGCAGAGATCATATCCAAGTACTTCTTCAGATATCCTATGAGGTTCCTATGACTGTGAGAATCAGGAACATACAAGTTTGTCTCTAAGTTTCGAGAACTGAATGGTAGGAAAAACAGGTGAGCCTTTTTGGAGTGTTTTGTAACAAATTTTTTGTTTCCCTCTAGCAATTTCATGAACCATCCCTCAGAAGCATATATCCCCTTGAGTGGGCCCTGATGTAATATAGGCCTTTCTCCTTCCTTGTAAATGTATACTTTCAGGAGGTCCTCCATTAATTCATAGCTCCTGCAATAAGATATTGCAAAATTTTACTATATAATCCTCTTCACTTGAATGCTTTTTCTTCAGCTACACTAAGTGCTATTATCATGCATAACCTGCTAGCCTGCTACGTACTTATCTTAAAAAATAGAAGAAAATGCATGTGAACATGTGTTTAAAGCAGAAGGAAATTTTCAATTTTAATAAGCTTACTTTTTGAACCTCGAGACATTCCAAAAGAGAGGAGCATAAAGCACAGGATCATTCTTTACAATAGGTGCATTCTGAATCTGTAATTTTGCATTTAGCAGCCCTTGGTCAACTGCTGAAGGCCGTTGTGGTCTCTACAAACAAGTTGGCAGAAAGAACAGAAAAGTTTATGTGACTACCTCAAAAAAATTAATCTGTGACACAGCTCAGAGCAGAAGTTTATACATACTCTCAAATTGGGAGAAGACCATCTTTGAAGCTGCAAATTGTTCATCTCTGAAATTGAAACCACTGCCGAGGATTGCATCTGAGGTTCTTTCTTCACTTCTGGAACTGAAGTCACAGAAGAGTTATTGTGCAATAGACTAGGATTATTCTGCTGTTCTCCTCTTTTCCCATCATTGTCTAAACTGGGTGCTGCATCTTTATCCATCATAGATGTATTAGACTCAACAGGAACAACAGGAGCTATAATGCTAGGAGAAAGGCTTCTTTCAGTTTCTTGTGGAGCAGATCCATTACCCAAACTGTTGACAGGTTCCAGTGTGGAATTTTCATTTCGATCTACCAACTGTTCAGGTTTAGACTCCTTTCTGTGGTTGTCTATTCCAGAGGACTTGTTCAAGCCACTAATGCCTTCTGATACAACATCATTATTTACATATGAGGTGGAGTTTGTATTTGCGTCCACCAACTTCTCTGGTGAAGACTCCTTTTCACGGCTGTCTATTATAGAAGAATCATTCAAGCCTCTCCTTCCTTCTAATACAAAATCAGTATTTACATTCACAGGGGTTTCTGTTACATGATTGTTATCAGTCTCTTGAGCACCCTCAGGGAAGAGACCAGTGGCATTCAAACCATTTAATTGAGTCACGTTATTAACCATCTCTGGTGTTAATGAGGCAACATGAGTTAACAAGCTGCTATTTCCCGCTCCTAGATCCTTCTGAGCAGAAGACAAAGATGATATAATATTGCCATAAGGCAATTCAAAATGTTGGAATGTTAAAACCACAGCGACTGCCACTCCTATAAACCATAGCAATTTCCAGATTTCGATTGTACAGGGATATCGAAATTCTTGGCCCATTGGAAAACCACTTGATTAAGGGTCAGCTGACTTTCTGTACAAATATCATCCCTGCATATCATTTTCAATCCTTCACTTAAATAAAGATGAAGTCCATTTCATAAACATTGATAAACTTAAAACGCTAAGCACTAACCCTTCAAATACAACCAGTACTCAAATCTATTGTACAAAATGTGATTGAAATGCAGCTGCAGTGTTAATATAAATTGAAGATAGTTATACTATGTTAATGTAGAAAGAAATAAGCTAAAGCAGCAAGCAAATCACACTGGTTTATCAGCATTGAGCACAGACTAAACAATTAAAACATTAATAAAAAAATCACTGAGCTGTATAGTCCATATCCAATGCCACTAACGTTCATGAGGAACAACACAAATAAAAAGGTTAAACGCATTTCATAAAAGACAAAGACTGCAGAGACAAGAACAAAACACCAAGTGATAAAATATTCAAACAGAAGGAAATCTCAATTCCTGGCAAAAAGAAAAAGAAGATAAAACAAAATCCTCCAATCAAATCATACACTAATAATTGATTAATACTTTTCTTTCTTTCCAGACAAGCATGAAGAACAACAGTCTTTACACAAATCCCAGAAAGAAAGAAAAAAATCCCAATTTTTGCCAAAGCAGAACAAAACCAACATAAAAGAAAAATCGATTTAATCACCAACGACTCCACAAATCTCTTCCTTTCCTAGCAAGAAGAAACGAACACCGCATTCACACAAACCCCATATCAAAATTCTACCATAACAGCCAAAACAAATCAAGACCAACATGCAAAACGCTTAAACGAATCAATATAACTCTGAAAGATTACCAGAGACAGAGGCAGAGATGCCGTTGCTTCTTCAATAACACATGCTAACTCTGTTTAGAAAGGGAATATAAAATGTAGCAGAATAAAGGAGAAGTCTTTCTTTTCCCTTTCAAGACTGCTAATCAGTCTTAACAATTTATTTTCCTTGTACGGTGAATACTGCCAGTTGTTGAAACAATAAACCAGATTCCAAGTTTCTTTCTTTTCCCTTCTTATATTCCCTTTCAAGTCTTTTTTTTTTTTTTTATTCTCAGCCACCAAACAGTACTGTTCCCTGTTATTAAAAGAATTAAGTTGATGGTTACTAAAAGAAGATTAGTATGGCGGTGAAAGTGAAATATTTTACCTGGGTTTTCTTCTGCTGTTTTGTTGTTTAATCATCTGCTCCTGCTTCTTTCTCTTGGGAATGATGAAGCGCTGCTCCGCCCTTTCAGTGGCGTTTTTACCACAACGCTACACTGTTTTGACTTAGTTTGTTAGTTCAGGTTTTTGCATTAGTCCACGCGCTGGGCAAATTAGTGGTTGTGTTAGAATTTTAGTAGTTTGTCAAGGATGGTGACTTTTTGTTTCGTATCATTTTCATATTCCTTTTCTGTTTTTTTTTCTTTTTTTATTTTAAACAAAAACCTGTCATCAAAATTTTTTAAAACCAAATAAAACGATTTTAAGAAACGTTGATGAAGGTGGTGGTTTTTCTTTTTTCAACAAAATAATCCAAAACGAAAAATGAAAACCGCAAATGATATCAAACCACCCCTAAAATTTTTGTTTATAAAAAATAAAAAATAATTTTTTTTTAAGTCTTACAAACAGTTTTCGCACAACAAAATTAAATTCATTTCTTCAATTTAGTAAAAAAAATAAGCTATCCATATACAAATTTGAGAATTCATGAAATTTTTAGCCTGATTTAGAATTTATATTTATCCTAACAATTTAAAAACGAAATATATACCTTTTTAATACAAGTCCAACCTCTCAAGTCTCTTACTTCCTGTTTATTATCCTAAAAAAAACATAAATTTTATATTTTTTTAATTATATTAGTTATTTTTTTAATGTTGGATAGAAGGTATACAAATTAAGTTTTTATTAACCAGTTAGCATGTGCAATTTTTTTTCCGTCAAAATTCCATTAACATCTAATTTGGTAGGAGAAAAATATTGATAAAAAGGATTAAAAAATATTGCCATGTTAAAAGTTTATGGAATTTTGATCGAAAAAAAATCACGTGTGCTAATAAAATTAACATAAGTTTAATTTATGTATTTTTTTATCTAATATTGAAAGAACATGTTAATATACTTAAAAAGTGTAAAACTTATGTTTTTTTTTTTTTTTTGTATAATAAGCCTATAAAAATGTGTCCGCTTAATACTTTATTTATTATAACTATTTTAAGGATCGTTCGTTGTTATAATTAATATGTTTATGTAGACATACTATTTTATTGTAAGTTTTTAAAGCATTCACATAAATGACCAATCATCCAGTTATTGAAAAATTGTATCTTCTAATGACCGTCAGAAAAAAATAATAATATTATTACTTTTTAGTTATTGACAAAAAAAAAGTTGAAGCAAAATAATGATTAAGAAAATTATTTAGTAATTAAGAAAAGAGGCTCTCATTTTTTTATTCTTAGGATTCAAATCATTGATAGTATAACAAATCAAAAGGATTTTATTAAATCTTGTAATTTTAACAAAATTGATATATTTTTTAACAGATGAAGAGAACTAAATAAATTTTTTGATATATAAAATAAAATGTCGATATGAAAATCCCAATTATAACCGAGAAAAAAAAGAAGAAGAAGAAGAAAATATTCTACTTCATCCATATGATTTCAATAGGAAAAAAAATCAATATGATGAGAATAAATTAATTGAAAATTTTTAGGAGAATTAATGAATTTTATATAAAAATAAAAGTCTACGAAGCGTGTTCTTAAATTAAATTGACGATTACGTACCAACAAGACCCCTTAAACTAACTAACTATTCATAAAGAAGCCAATAGCATTGACTTAGAATCTTTCAAAGTTAAGGCCAAGGGAGAAACATAACACATTACCAGCCATAAATAGAAAAATGCCCACCAGAGGGTACCAAATCCAAAATATATTAAGTAATGTGGGCAAGTTCCAAAAAAACGAGCAGCCCTTGCTGGCAGCCTGATGGGAACTTTGCTCCCACGTCCCTCTCGAGAGACTTGAAATTATTTGGTTTAATCAATAGAAAAGAAAGGGCGCACTTAAATTATTTTTTTGGGTTTAACCTGTCAGCCATGCAAAACGCAAAGCCAGATTGAGACTCATAATTTGGTGTTGATCTTTCTGAAGGTGGCTTTGGAGAGGAACCTGACCTCATTGATAAATGATTGTTTTGGGATTTACTTTTTCTACAGGTGGTCCGTGATGTGATGAGATCACCATTCACCATTATATTATGGACTGGACTAGTTCACTGATACTATAAACTTCATAATTCCATGAAGGCTCCTAACACGTGTATGCAACACTCATGCACTTGTTATTCATGGGTAGCTAGCCTAGCCATCTTCCTTTCTATCAATTAGTGTCACCTTGATAACGTAATTATTGAATGGCTGATTCACTACTTTTGCTCCATTATGATACAAAAATAGAGAATACTAGTTGGCGCTTAGCAATATGATGTGAGTGGTGGAATATTATTCACGAGAATCGAGTTGAGTTGAATGAAGATTGTTAAGCAAACATTTTAATATTGCATCCAATAATTCAGAATAGCAACGAACGTTACAATATTTACAATATTTTCTTATAACTTTTTTTGTTGTTATGCATTGATTACAGAAAAAATATTTTATTTTAGACATTGATGAGTAAATGTTTGGTATCATTCATAAAAATAAATAATAAATAAATAAAAAGACAACAATGACTTATTTAGCAGTATATATAAACAAATCAAAAATATTAAAAAAATATTTAAACTTGCTAGCTAATCACGAAGAAAAAAACAATGAGGAAATATTTAATTAATAATGTAAAAATTGACAAATATTAATTTTAATAGTTGATAAAAAAAAGCACTCAAACAACAATTATTTTGAGAAGAAAAAGAATAAATTAAGTATTAACCGGAGAAAATTGATACATCAATTGCGCTGTACACTTTGAGCATTTTCAACTTCTTTCTTTAGATGCAACTTTTTGTTACTCTAACTTAATCTCTCTTCGTCGGCTTCTGCTTCTTGAAAGTCCTTAACTCCTTTATTAACTTTTATACAATCTCTTGATGTAGAATTAACACCAACCAGTATGAATTAAAGATAAAAAATATGATAATATTTCACCCAAATTAAAAAAAAACTTACTGTATCAAAAAATCATGGACTTAAAACTTTTTAATCATTTTTATACGTTCTTTCGGTATTAGATAAAAAATATATGAACTAATTTTCCGATAATCGTATTAGCATTTTTTTCGAACAAAATTCTATTTTCGGATGATGTGACATGACATATAAGATGACATCAAGAATCAAAAGCCACCTAAGATTTCACATGGCTAAAAATTAAAATTTCTTCCCATTTCAGGCGACATGTTATTCAATTTTAATTGAGTTCTGATTTCAATTTCAAAAAATCTTTAAAACACAAACCCAATTCAAATGCTAAAAATCTCTAATCCTTTTCCTGAAATAAATGTAGCCAGGAAATCAAACATGTTTGCCCATACTGTACCAAACTCAAACTTTGCCACTCCCCATCATTTTCAAGTTAACATACCATTTTTTGGAGAAGCTTATGAAGATTGGAGCATTCAAATATGAAATTTGTTCATTTCATATGGGCTCTAAGATGCAGTGCAAAATGGGTATGAGTGACCCACAAATGTTGCTGGATTAACATCTAATGATGACAAAAAAGAAAAAAAGAGCAATTTGATGAAAATCGATTGAAGAATGCAATTGGCTTACAATATATTAAACAAAGAATTAGCAAGAAGATATTTCCAATTATTAAAGTAGCCTCAACATCAAAAATAGCTTGGAAGATTTTAATGAATGAATTCAAAGGCTTAGACCTGGTAATCACTATTAAACTTCAATCTCCATGTAAAGTTTTTGATGTTTTAATTACTAATGAAGGGAGAAAAATCAATTCATATATTCTTGTTCT